GTTTGCACCTCATTTATCCCTTTCACTATTCAAAAAAAGGGTATCACAATCACTTTTTGAGTATTAAAGTGTTCAAACCATCCAAATATTAAGTGGTTTGTTGTAAGTTGTGTTGGAATATTCATAATACGGTTTGAATTATGAATACACAGCAAATTTCAATTTTCACTCTGTCTGAACATACTCAATCAAAACCTTGCCATTTCCTCCCCCACCGTCAAAAAAAACCTGAAAATTCCCAACTAACCGGTCTTTTATCCACACACTTATACAACTAAAAAGTGGAGAAAATACTGGTAAGCAATCTTCTCACAATCACTCAACAAACCCCGCACGCCAAGCGTCTGCGTGGGCATTCCACCAGCAGGTTGGCGTGCAGGTCCGCACACCAATCAAAATTGATGTGTGAGGCTGCACACCAACCTTTGAGTGAGGCAGGCTCACTTACCTCGCTTGTAGGCTGGCGTGCAGCCTTGCCTGCGACCTAAACCCATTTTAATATGGGTTTAGGTTGATCCATATCCCATAGGACCCAGGGATGGGTCCTATGGAGACGACTGTCCACGTCAAACCTTGAACGGACATCCGTTCAAAGTTTGAAGCCTGACAGCCATCAGCCAAGGTTTGAACCTTGGCCAATGGCCTTGAAGATCCCAAAGATTCTAATTGCAACATCTGCAATTTATTAAAGAACATGAGTACTAAATTTCATGGTTTGAATGATCAAAACCCTGGAATTCAACAAACCAAAATGTCCTGAGATGCATCCATGATGAGGACCTTGGGGGTGGAAATGTGGTGGGAAAAGAAGGGATAGTCGGGGTGAGTGGGCTTGTTGGGGGAGTATTTATGGTTGAAGGAAAGCAAGTGTGACAAGCAATTGGCCAGCAGCAGATGAGCAGTGCTGCAGGTTTGGATTGTTGTCAAATTTTGCAATAAAATTTTGACGAGCAAGCAGTCATGATTTTGTGACATGTCCATAAAAAGGCCTAATGGTAAAATTCATTTACCATAAAAATGAATTTCAATTAGGGCCTTAATAAAAAAAGCGGTTATTCTGCGTTTTGACATGGTTTCTGCTGCGCGCAGCAAATACGGATTCTGTGTTTTGACACAGTTTTTAAATCCGTTCTTTTTTCCTTTTATTTTAAGTTTATTTGATTTTTTAAAATTGTTTCCTGGGTTATAAAATGTGTAGAATTTAATGGTAAAGCCCATTTTCCATAAAAATGACTTTTGATTACACTACAAACAATACCAGTTTTGCCCCAGGAAAAAATTGCCAATTGGGTGGTGGAAAATAGATCAATTTACCTGAGGCTTTTTTACAAAATGACTCAGGAGTAAAAATTAGGTTAAAATGAGCTATTTTATCCAAAAAATAAAAATTTCACAAATGAGCTAAAAATCAATTTTGGAATGTTTGAGGCATTTTTACTTTTGGGCTAAAATAGCTCATTTTAGCCTAATTTGCCTCCCTAAGTCATTTTGTAAGAATTAATTAAAAAAACATGTCAAATGCAATATTCAAGAGCAATATTTGGTTTTTATGAAAGGTAATTGTTACCATCATTTTAAACATGTCTTAAAGTGTGGGAAATAAATTTAAAATGTCAAAAAATAATGAAAATTAAGCTCTTAAAAATCAATTGAAAATTGTGACTAGTTACAGTATTCAGCATGAACAGTTGGTTTTTGTGGAAATCAGATTATGCCATTAAATTCTACACATATCAAAACCAAAGAAATAGTGGGTATCAAATATCACCAAATCCACCATTATTCAATTGACTGGTTTGAAAAATCCACACTTTTTTAAACATGTTGTTTCTTCATTTAACCCTTTTTGGGGCCCATTGATGCAAAAACACTTTTTGGGAAAATTGACTGGTTTGTAATGGTATATTTACTATATTGGGTACCCCCTAATAAATTTAAAATTTCAAAAAAACATAAAAACTAAGGTACACACATGTATGCAAACAATCAAGTGTAAATTGAAAAATTAAATAAAAAAACAGTGTCAAATGCAGTATTCAAGATTTAGTTTTCATTTTGATGCAAAATGATTGTTACCATAACTTTATAAATGTCTCAAAGTGTAGGAAAAAAATTTAAAACATAAAAAAATAATGAAAATTAAGCTGTAAAAATTCAGTGAAAAAATGAGTGTAATTGCATTATTAAAAATGAACCATTCATTTTTATGGAAATTGGAGTACACCATAAAATTCTATACACTTTATAATGTAGGAAATAAATTTAAAATTCCAAAAAAAAAACATAAAAAATAAGGTACAAACATGTATGCAGACAATTAATTGACAAATGAGTTAAAAAAATAATGATTAAAATTCATTTTGGGCCTTAATAAAAAAACGTAGTTTTTCCGTGTTTTGACACGGTTTCTGCTGTGCGCAGCACACGCGGTTCCCGCGTTTAGACACAGTTTTTTAATTGATTTTTTTTTTTGCCATTAATATGGAGTTTTTTTGAATTTTTAAAAAAATTTCCTACACTTTAAATTCAACAACCAGGAGGTCAACTCTTGGCTGTTGAGGTTATACATTCTCAATAACCAAAAGCAAACCCTCTTGGTTGTTGAGGTGTATCAATGGTGCCACAGATAGGAGACATGTATTTGTATTGGATCGTATCGTATTTATTTTGAGCCTGATACCGGTATCAGTATTTCCTTGGTTGGTGAAAAAATACATGTATCGGATTTGGATTTAAAAATGAAAAAAAAAAAAATCGTCTTTGTTTTTTTTCGTTTTTTCTTCAATACAGCCAAGTATCTTATGTATCAAATACGGTTTTGGTGGGATCAGTCATCTGAGACGATACAGAATACATTTCTCACTTTTCAAATACGATACATGTATATGTCTCAGGAAAGTGAGACAACACAAATCCGGTATTTTTGGGTATTCCAATTCTGAGACGATACAGATAAACGCCTGATACCGTATCGTATCGTCTCTGTGGCACTGTTGGGTGTATGTACACCCTTGATGGCTGTGAGGTTTCACTTGGCCATTGAGGGGTACACCCTCAATGGCCAAGAGGTTTCTCTCAGCTGTTGAGGTCTTGATGGCCAAGAAGTTTCCCTTGGCCGTTGAGGTGTACTCCCATGAACACCAAGAGAAACCCTCTCAACCTTTGAGGGTTAAGGGTTTCTCTCAGCCGTTGAGGTTGTAGACCCTCAACAGCTGAGGAGGGTTAAGGTTTTCTCTTGGCCGTTGAGGTTGTAGACCCTCAACGACTGAGAGAAATTCTCTCAGCCATCAAAAGCACTCTCTGCAGCCGGGAGGAATCATCCTGGCTATTGGTTTTTTGTTTTGGTTCTGGCATTGACACCCAAACCCCTCTGGGGTTTTTCTTTTTTTTTAATTTTTTTTGGGGGGCTGAATCCCAAACCCACTGACAGGTTTGGGGAATCGACTCCCAAATTTTGAATAAAACCAGGTTTGGGAGTTGATTCTCCAATTTCTGGGAATCGGTTGACCAAGTCTCTATATGATTATATCCAAGGTCCCAGATCTTCAATTTTACCTTGAATTAATTTCAAATATGAGAATCACACCAAGCCATTCCATAAAGCTAGATAAACTTCCAGAAGGCTGGTTTCCAACCTGCTCACTAACTAGCAGATCCTGGCAAGTTGGTAGGAGAACCTCTAGCTCTGTGTAAACCTCCAAAAGTAAAGAAAAAAACTGGACTTTGTGCAGACCCACATATGTGTCCACAAGGACACCACATGGCTTCAAACAGAAGAACAGTTGTGCACACTGATCAACCAGCTTTGTGTATCAATGCTCTTGAAAGAAGGATACTGGTTGCCTACCCTCAAAGTCGGCTCAGGTTTAAAATTTAGGGTCTTAGTTAAACGACTCCCAGAAATTGGAGTTCTGACTCCCAAATTTCTGGGACGTCAAGAGGACTGTCTGCGGACGGTCCTCAGGACATCCAACCCCGAAATTGGGAGTCAGAACTCCAAAACCTTCAAAAGGTTTGGGAGTCGTTCCCCTAACAAAAAAATAATAAAAATAAAAATAAAAAAATGAAATAACTATATGAATTGGCTGCTGAGAGTGTACACTCTCTGCGACCAAGAGTTGTACACTCTCAGAAGCCGAGAGGAATACCTCTCGGTTGCAGAGAGCTGTACACTCTCAGCAGCCGAGAAATCCCTCTTGGCCGCTGAGAGTGAATGCTCTCAACGGCCGAGAGGGATCTCTTGGCTTCTGAGAGTGTACACTCTCTGCGACCGAGAGGAATCCCGCTTGGC